TAGAGTGCCGTGGCGTCGTCCTATCTTAGTTCCCTGAAGCATTATTTATAATAGTAAAAAATGGTCAACGACCTAAAAGTCCATCAATAAGGGCAGGTTAAATATAGGACATGTATAAATGAAACATACAGACATTTTAAAAAATGAGATAGATCTATATGAAATGGTGGGAAACATGTCCAAGATACATTGTAAGTGGGAAAAAGCAAGTTGCAGAAGCATATATATGGTATCATCGCATTCCTGTTTTTAAAATACATACCTAAATATTCGCCTATTTTTGCATATATAATTTTAAAATTCAAGTGGTTACTCTCAGTAATGGGACTAGGAGATGAGGGTGGAGTGGGGAAGGGACTTTTAATTTTTACCATATATAGTGTATAAATTTAAAAAAATTACCATGTATTATTTTCATGGTTTTTAAAATAAAACTAGTTATTAAAATGACAGTTACTGTAAAGAAAAGCATTAGCTGGGCACAGTGGCTCATGCCTGTAATCCCAGCTACTCAGGAGGCTGAGGTGTGAGGATCACTTGAGCCCAGGAATTCAAGGTTACACTGAGCTATGATTCACCACTGCACTCCAGCCCGGGCAACAGAGGGTTGACCCTGTCTCTTTAAAAAAACAAAAAACAAACCAAAAAACACTATGTCCAGAAACAAACCCTGGAGCAAAAAGACTCAGAACTAGGTAAAACAGATTTAACCTCCCATCACTCCCCCTTCCAAAGAAAAAAACACTAGATAAAAACCTCAAAACTAAGTAATGATGAAAACTTCAGGACTCAGAAAGTTCTCCTCACATGATCATAAGCTGCATATACATTATAAATAATTAACAGCAGCTCAAGTAATAGTAAAAGCAAAATTCCCCAATATAGCTAGGTCATCTTTCCGTGAAGAACATGATCAACTCTTACTTCACAGCAACATCCCAATGTGCAGCAAAGGACTATGAATGTTTTGCAAATCATGGATCTGATAAAGGACTTCTATCCAGAGTATAAAAGAACTGTTATAACCCAGCAATAAAAAGACAATAATCCGAGCTTAAAATGGGAAAAGGATCCAAACAGACATTTCTTCAAAGATATGTAAATGACCGATAAGCGTATGAAAAAATGCCCAACATCATTAGCCACCATGGATATACAAATCAAACCCACAGGAGATACCACTTCATCCACACTAGAATGACTATAATCAAAAAGACTAATCATAACAAGTACTGGCAAGTATGTGGAGAAATTAGAATCTTTATACATTGCTGGTAGAAATGTAAAATGATGCAGGCACTTTGGAAGTTTGACAGTTACTCAAAAGCTTGAACATATAGTTACTATATGACCCAGAAATCCCACTCCTAGGTGTATATATCCTCAAGAGAAATGAAAACCTACATCCACACAAAAACTTGTACACGAATGTTCATAGCAGCATTACGCATAATAGTCAAAAGGTGTAAACAATTCAAATGTCCATCAGATGAACGGATAAATAAGATATGGTATGTTCACACAACGAAATACTATTTGGCAATAAAAAGAAATAAAGTACTGATATATAACATGAATGAACCTGGCAAAGGCCACATCTGTATGATTCCATTTAGGTGAATTATCCAGAACAGGAAAATCTGAAAACTGATGATGGGGGCAGGAGAGTTGAGAAGAACACGAGTAACGGCTAATGGGTATAGCTTCTTTTTCGGGTGATGAACATATTCTAAAATTGACTGTGGTGAATCAACTCCTAATATACTAAGACTCACCTAATTATATTTTAAATGAGCAAATTTTAAAGTATATTATTTACATCATTAAAGCTGTTATTTTAAAAAAAGGGGCACAACTGTGAAAAATATAGGCACTCAAATATCTGTAGACAGCCGACTGATCATAGAATTTCCAAATAGTCAAAATATGCCAGGATAAAATGAGTTATGCATCTTACTCGTGATTTTGGGTGATCTCCTTATCACATATTTTCTTATTAAACACTTAATGAACTTAAACTACGTATTCAGCAGAAAAAATATTAAATATTGCACTGTTTTTTGGTCAACTACAGCAAAACAAACATCTTCTAGTAAGATTCAGGACAAACCCGACCACAACCTAAAATCTAAAATTTCTCACCACATCCCCACTTGATTATACCAGCTGATTTACACATTTCCAAAGCAAAGGCTGAAGTTGATTTTAAACAAAGAATGGGTTGGCAATGGTATTCTTTCCTACTCTTTTTAACTTCGTTATGTGTGTGTGTGGGGGGGGCGATCAATGTTAAAAAGCAAAAGGGGAGGAAATAAAAATCGGTTCACTCACACAATAAAATGTTACAAAGCGACTATAAGGATTTTTTCACTCTTTGGCCAGGAAAAAAGGGGAATAAAAGGGAATGATAAAATTGCTAATTTATAATATTTCATGTTAGGCCTCAAGGACCCCCAAAAAAAGGTATGTCATGGAAACAAGGAATCTATCCACGACCCAGGAGGGAGGGAAATTCTTGGTGCGATCTGCAAGGAGGGTCCCGAGAGGGCCCCTAGCCAGCCCTGCCGCCGATGCCCCAGTTGGGGCCTGGTGCGGACTGTGGGCCCGGCGTCCCAGCCAGAGGAGCTTCGCCTCGGCGGCGCCTGGGGACGCGCTCCGCGCGGAGGTCAAGCAGAGAAACGCCGCCAGGCTCCCGAGGGCTCCACCCTCCCCTCTTTCGCTCCCTCCCCTCGGCGGTCCCCTGAGGGGAACAGGCGGGGCGCAGCGATCAGAGGCAGTGGGGGGGTTGAGTCCCCAGCAAGAAAAGCTCCGCCGCCCCAGAGTGGCGGCCTCGGGTTATTAATAAACTCCGCTTCTGCCCAGGCGCCGCTACCGAGGCCGGCCCGTAGGATCGGCAGGGCCTGCGGCGGAGGCTGAGGAGCGGGAGCCGGAGCCCGGGCCCAAGCGGGCCCGCGCCGCCGCGCTGAGGGCGGCGGCCGGGCGGAGAATAATGCACACTGGGTAAAAACACATTTATATACGAACCTCCGAGAAAATTTTCCAACAATTCCTTCGTCCGACCACCATGCACCAGGACAGGAAACAGCCGTCCGGCCCCCAGGCCCCGCAACCCGCATAGCGTGTCTGATGCCCGCCCCCAGCCTACATTGGGCTGTCATTACGTCACTCACCGGACGCTTTCTGCTTGCCATTGGCCCAAATTTAGCCGGCGCGGAAAAAACCCGCCTTAGCCACGCCCCCTCCCCTGGCGTCATTCGATCCTGGCCTTACAGTCCGTACCTGAGTGGCTCGCGCAAAGTGCGGAATCAAAGCTCCTGTGTCTGACTGGTTGGCAGAACCGCTGGTCCCAGGCCGACACCACCTCACTGACAAGTGAATTATGCCGATTCTGGGGCCTCAGCGGGAGGCGCCATTTTGTAGAGAGGGAGGGAGGCTGGTCCTTGTGATTACCCGGGAGGGAGAAGGGGTGACGGGCGCCATTTTCCCCACAGGGGCGAGGAGGCTGTCTTGGATCTCCCTGTGGGCTTGCCGGAGCTCATTTTGGAGACCACTTGGGCTTAGCCTAGTGATTGCTGAATGTCTTCCCGTTGGGAGGGAAGTAGAAAGGAGGAGTAGGACAGGATGGGAGGCCTAAACTACTCCCTAGGGGCTTTCAGTGCTTGCTGAGGCCCTTTGTATTAGGCGAGGGCTCTGCTTTCCCGAGAGCTGCTGTATGCCGGTGACTGGCTTCCAAGACTGACTGCACTTCTCCAGTCTCCGGGGGCATCACCATGCGGTGGGAGGGTGAGCCTTTCTCTCCTTCTGAAACTCCGGCGGAGCTTGGCAACAGGACGGGGCAGCGTTCTTGGACTCAGCTGGGAGACACTACGGATGCTTTTGTGCTTTCACGTAGTTTCTACTCGAAATTTGAAGCCGTCTGAAATTGTGTCGCTACGTTCTTTTGTATGTTCTTTCCTTTTCGTTTGTCTGAACTAAAGGAAAGTCAAAAGGATGGGGAAAGCATTCAATCGGGCTCCCGAAAACTGAGTACAAATAGGTTGTGGCGTTTGTGGTAGCTCTCAACCCTTTTCTAAACCATTGGAAATACTAGTCTGAAAATTTCAGGAGGTAATCATTAAAAGTTTGCTTTGGCAACTAGGCCAAATAAAGATGAGATAAAGTGAGTAGATGCAAGATTTCTTAAATCAGACGCGCCAGTAGTTTTTTTTTTTTTTTTTGAGACAGAGTCTCAACTCTTTTGCCCTGGCTAGAGTGCCGTGGCGTCAGCCTAGCTCACAGCAACCTCAAACTCCTGGGCTCAAGCGATCCTCCTGCCTCAGCCTCCCGAGTAGCTGGGACTACAGGCATGCGCCACCATGCCCGGCTAATTTTTTTCTATATATTTTTAGTTGTCTGATTAATTTCTTTCTATTTTTAGTAGAGACGGGGTCTCGCTCTTGCTCAGGCTGGTTTCGAACTCCTGAGCTCAAACAATCCCCCCGCCTCGGCCTCCCAGAGAGCTAGGATTACAGGCGTGAGCCACTGTGCCCGGCCCTGCCAGTCGTTTTAATAGAATCGAATTACTAAGAAAATAAGAAGGCTGGCCTGCTGTGACAGGTTTGGATCTTGCTTACAAAAACAGGGAGAGAACAGGATGATGTTTGATTTGGCGTGTTGCATTTCAGGTGATCATGGAATAGGGGAATAAATCAAAAGATGTTAAAGATGGCCAGCCCTCGAAGTGAGGTTAGTAAAAATGTTTTGATTTGTAATTGAGTCTATGTGGAAGATGCAACATTGCCCTTTTATTGGTTAGGCAGACCCTAACTAAGGCATAATTGCTTAATTGGTACCCAAATGCTATTCGAAGAGTAACAGGAATTTGAGCTTCGTTCGAACACACATCCTGAAGAAGTTGGAAATAGTTCTCATTACTTTTTAAGCCCTTGTAAGAGAAATGTCATGTATACAATTGGATTAGGTTACTTGAAACTGAAACTGTGGAGGATTTTGCTCATTTAAAACAATTTCCTGGGCCAGGCATGGTGTCTCACACCTGTAATCCTAGCACTCCTGGGAGGCCAAGGCAGGAGGATCAGGATCGTTTGAGCTCAGGAGTTCCAAACCAGCCTGAGCAAGAGAGAGACCCCATCTCTACTAAAAAAATAGAAAGAAATTAGCTGGACAACTAAAAATATATAGAAAAAAATTAGCCGGGCATGGTGGCACATGCCTGTAGTCCCAGCTACTCGAGAGGCTGAGGCAGGAGGATCACTTGAGCCCAGGAGTTTGAGGTTGCTGTGAGCTAGGCTGACGCCACTGCACTCTAGCCTGGGCAACAGAGTGAGACTCTGTCTCAAAAGTAAATAAATAAATAAAATAAAACAATTTCCTGCCTAATGGATAGATTCCCTTTGTTACAGAGAAGTTGAGAGCTGAGATAAAAAAAAAATTGGTGGTGAGGGTGGATAGGATGCTATAATTGTAATCTGATTCAGAGAGAAAGCTTAATTCAGATTTGATACAGGTAGTGGCACCTTATGTTAACAGAATTTACTCGTGACTATAGGACAGAGTTCAAATGTATACAGTATTCAGGGCCATCCATAATCTTCAGATTTTCCCCAAGTCACCTCTCCTCTCTTTTATTACATCCTATCAAATTAATGGCTTGAAAATCTTTCTCTGTCAATGCTAGTCCAGGCTCTTAAATACAGCAGGACCATTTCCCCAACTTCCTAAATAAAAGCTTATTTCTTCTAGTCCCCTTCAAAAACTATTATCATATTTTCTAAAATATTTCTTTCAGTAACTTGAAACTTCCTGGAGAATTAGTTCATTAGGGCATATTTGTACAATGATATAACCATGAAGTAGTATATGCATAGAAAAAAGATACAGAGAAATGTGTTAAACTCTTAAAAGCAGTTATCTCTGGGAAAAGGGATTATAGATGACTTAGTAAATTATTTCTGTAAATTTGTGAATTTTTTAATCATGGATTTGTAGATTTTTTTTAAGCACTTAAGAATTTAAAACCAAACCAGTGGCTTGTTCATGGGAAGCTGTGGCTGTAAATGTGTGTCAATTGTTTCAGAACCTGTTGCCTCATGTGTATGGTAAAACCACCCATTTCACAATGTGATTGGGAGGTTATATGATGTTGCTGGTTTTTGCATGTAGCACAATGCCTGTCAGAGACGCTTTCCAAGTGCTTAATAAATTTTAGCCCATCTCTCCCCACTTCCTCCTTTATGGTTTTACAACAGTGGTTTTTAAGCACTTTGACAATTCCTTTGGGATTCTGATGAAAGCTATGAAAAATATAAAGTTTGCAGTTTGATAGGACTCATGGACCCAGAGTTAGGAGTCCTTGGTTTGTAGACTAAACTCATTTAGTTAACGTCACTCAACTTCTGCGATAAAAGTGACAGACCTATTTTTATCATTATTATTTTTTTTTTGGAGACAGAGTCTTGCTTTGTTGCCCGGGCTAGAGTGCCGTGGCATCAGGCTAGCTCACAGCAACCTCAAGCTCCTGGGCTCAAGTGATTCTTCTGCCTCAGCCTCCTGAGTAGCTGGGACTACAGATGAGCACCACCATGCCTGGCTGATTTTTTCTATTTTCAGTAGTTCCCGGCTAATTATTTCTATTTTCTAGTAGAGAGAGGGGTCTCGTTCTTGCTCAGGCTGGTCTCGAACTCCTGACCTCAAGTGATCCTCCCAAATTTTTAGTCTTTCACCATTAAGTATATTAGCTTCAGGGTTTTGCCTTTTATCAGGTTGAGTAAGTTCCTTCTGTTTCTAGTTTGTTGGGTTTGTTAACAAGGATTTAAAAGGAAACCTTAAAAAGCTCTCATAAGAAACATTTAAATACAGAGTGTAATTGACAAATTTCAATCCATACATGAAAAAAGAATCTATAAATACACAAAGGTGAATTATCACCTGTGCTTTAAAAAACTTGGTGGGGAGATGATTAGGTCACACACACACACGCACACAAGAATTACTTAAGATATTCCTCCCATGCTAAAATGAAGAATTTCTAGCTGGATACCTAGCTCCCCTTTTTAAGAACCACAGTGTCTGCTTCTTTTGATAGTCATGGTCATATGAGTATGTTCTGACTCTTTATATAAGAGGCAACAATGTGTGCAACTTGCTGTACTGGTCCCTAAAGGGCAGGGATATATTTCTTCGTCACTTCGGTTTATTCAAAGTTTAAATGGTGGTTGTCCTGGGCCATATGTACTACTGTACACAAAGGATGAGGGGCCTATACTGGCACTGAATCACTTTAGTGAGCTGAGTTACAGCCTGGGTCTAGAAGACTTTTGGAAGAGCATAGTTTAATCTGCTGCTAATGTTGGTCTTTGGATTTCCAAGTCCACTTAAATATTAAGTTTTATGTTTGTTAAAGAATATTCTCTTAGAAGAGCCTTCTCTAATTTGGGGGTCTGATTTATTTAGATAACTCTTCCCTCTCTCTCTTCCCCTGTAGAGATTACAGTAATATCTCCAAGAGCACTTTCCATATAAACTGACATGCTTTGGGGTCAAGAGTGACTTTATTTTAAATGCTAATCTGCTGGACTAACCCTGAGTCTGGGAATGCCTCCATAATATCTAGCTGATGTTATTACTTTTTAAAAATTTAGACACATGGTTTCACTCTGTCACCCAGGCTAGAATGCAGTGGTGCAATCATAGCCCACTGTAACCTTGAATTCCTGGGCTCAATCTCCCTGCTTCAGCCTCCCCAGTAGCTGGGACTACAAGTGCATGGTCACAACACCCAGCTAATTTAAATTTTTTTTTTTTTTTTTTTTTAGAGACAGGTCTCAAATGCCTGGCCTCCAGCGATCCTCTTGCTTCGGCCTCCCAAAGTGCTGGGATTACAGGCATGAGCCACCGTACCCAGCCACATATTCTTTATGTAGGAAAACCTGTGCACTGCAAGTTTCACCTTTCCACCAAAACAACCCTTGATGCTAGTACACTGATGCCAGCAGCATTCTCTCAGCCACCTACACATTCCTTCCAGAGCACATATACTTTCCCCCCCCAGATTTAAGCCCTGGGTCTGGGGAGTCGTGGTGCAGAGATCAACTGTCTTGCAGCTGCCTAAGACCACACTTTTGTCCTCAAGTCCCCCTAACAAATCATCCTATACCAACAAACTGGATTTGACTGCCTCATTCTTTGGTTTCTCAGCTCCTTTGGCATTTGGGGGTTGCTTTGCATGTACATCCCTTTCTATGACCACATGCAAAACCTTTCTTTACTATGAGCCAAAGTATGAAGTGCTACTGCAAGGGTAGCCAATCTCACAAAGGGTAAAAACTGAAATTAAGTAGACACTAATAATTGGTCACAGATAATCACTGCCAAAATTTAAACTACATAGAACAGAACTGACAGTTTTATAACTGATGTTTTAATTTTAGGTCATTCATTTTACAAACACAGTATGTCTATTATGCTTAAGATAATTGTGTTAAATCTTTGCCAAAGACATAGTAGTCATATTAATGTAATTCTTAATGCCTTTTTCTTCATGCTTCAGGGGCTACATCTGGGGTTGAATAGCAGCACATAGCCAAAGGGCTGTGGTATGTCCACCCATGCTCTACTCTGGTCTCTTCCAGAGGTGAGTATATAGCACTAGTCACTATCTTAATACAGTGTGCCACCATTTTATTACCTGCAGAGAAACAGATTAACTTCCTTTATTTAATACTGATAATAGGTACGGTTTTTAAAACATGGATTGCTTAAGTTTACAAAAAAGTAATTTTATGCTAATGCCTGTCATGAACAAAGATAAACTTTCAAAAAGTTTTCCAAAACTCCTATAACCTCATCTAGAAACTAACACATATTAAGATTCATGATCTAGGCCGGGCGTGGTGGCTCATGCCTGTAATCCGAGCACTCTGGGAGGCTGAGGCAGGAGGATTGCTTGAGGTCAGGAGTTTGAGACCAGCCTGTGCAAGAGTGAGACCCCGCCTCCACTAAAAACAGAAAGAAATTATCTGGACAACTAAAAATATATAGAAAAAATTAGCCGGGCATGGTGGCACATGGCTGTAGTCCCAGCTACTCGGGAGGCTGAAGCAGGAGGATCGCTTCAGCCCAGGAGTTTGAGGTTGCTGTGAGCTAGGCTGATGCCACGGCACTCTTGCTCGGGCAACAAAGCGAGACTCTGTCTCAAAAAAAAACAAACAAACACAGATTCATGATCTATAACAAACTAATTTGATGTTAAGCTAAATGAAATCATTAAAATTAAGATATATATCTGATACATTAGAAATTACCATTTGAACACTAAATAGTTTAATTATTAAGGTCTAATTTTAAGTTAAAGTCTATACATGGAGATTAGTTTGGATTATGTGACACAAGAGACAAACATGTTCTCAAAGACATGCCAATACATTTTCTTGAAGCAAAACCTCAAATGAGAATTTTCATACTGTGCATGGGAATAACTAAAACCTTTATTAGATGTGATTTTCCAATAACAGTAATGTGAAAATTGGAATTATCAATTCAAAGAGCAATGAATTCTGAAAATTTAAAAAGTAGACTAGGTATTAGGGCACAAAAGGTAAAGGAAGACGAGAATGTTTCTTTAATACTTTTCGATATCCCCTCTGTACACAATGTTGCATATATACAACTACATTTTTTATTTTATTGATTTTATATAATAGTGAAATCCCTTTAAGCAACCTAGGTATACAGTTGGTGTCCAACTTGTGGGGGAGGGAGTAGAAACACACTTAACAGTTTTTACCCACACATTTCAGACAATTTTTTTCTTTTTTTGCCAAGATTTTAGTAGTAAATTCATAAATATAGGAAATACTTTCACTCCTTCAGTGTTAAAGTAGAAAACCAAACAGTGCCAACAGCAGTGGCTTAATTATTGGTATACAAGAAAAACATAACACCAGTGGGTTTTCTTAATTATGCATTTTAAATATCAGTATGTGCATTTGTTTGATTTTTACAGTTATAAATGCTCTGTTTTAGATAACAGCATGTAATAGTTTTGAATCTATTGAGATGTTGCTTTCAATTTGAAATATTGTGTGTATACATGTATATAAAAAAATAATCCAATGTATGACTCATCTGACAGATGTTTAAGATCAATAAAGGCTTATTTTTCAACATGCAGTTAGGAAGAGAGGGAAGCAAGCCAACCTCTCTACACTGTCTTGTTGCTGGGCTGGTTTTTGCAGTGGTATCAATAGTGGTTTTTGGAGGGAACCATGTGCCTTCAGCCTCTATAATTAAGATCAGATACCACAATCAACAGGAGGGGTAGAGGAGATGGGGAAAGGTAAGTGGGCAGGTGTTAAATATCAAATTTTAAGTGTGCATTTTGCATTTTATAGGTACAGGATAAAAACAGGCCAATTAAGGAAAAAATTTTATGAACAGGGAAAAAACTGCAATCAAATCAAGACATAATAGCCGAATTAAGTTCTTTTAATAGATTGCATATATAGATGTTTAGCCATACTCTTAGATCAACTCTTTAAGAGTAGAACTTTATATCCAATTTACATGCTTCAGATATCACCTTTCTTACTTGTTTACAGTAAGGGCTCGTATCCAAATATCCAATTGTACACTGAGAGCTTTAAGAAAAAACAGGACACAGAGGGAGTTGCCATTTTTAGCAGCAAAGGTATATCACTAACCCCTTTTTACATACCGAATTCAAGTCACAATCAGAGGTGAGTGTACCACAAAGTCACCAGGTACAAAATTGCTAGTTCATTTTTAAATTAATAACTTGAAATTACCCCTGCCCCCCACCCCATTACATCCCTTCTTTTTATAAACAGCAAACATTTTGCTATTTTATACATAGGCTAGCAGGCTTGTTTCAATATGAAAGTGCTAATTCATTTACAGATTTTTTTAATCAGTTATGTAGTGCTACAATAAACGTCCAATAATCTACATAGGAACAATCTTTGATGAATGAAAATGATGAAGATTGAATAAGGCTATCAGATTACCTTATCTTATTTACATATAAAGAATAGATACCCAATGGTGAGGAAGAGACAAAAATTGGACAAATACTCATAGGTGTAAAAATTACATCTACCTTTGAGATTTATATACTGTAAATGAGACATTTTAAATAGTCCTGTAGCCCATGCCTATTTTTTCCTCAGAAAAAGAAAAGCTGCCTTCATGACATCCCCTCTTGTTGCAGATTTCCACAGTGTCACTTGAAAGCTTCAGTCAGGATCTTACTTTCTTCAAAAAATAAAGAAAATAACCCCAAAATTACCCTCCCTCCCCCAAATCCCTCTGGTTTCTTTTCCAGTGCCAGGTTGCATGATCAGGTCCCACCTCTTGGGTTTTTTTGTCCATCTATTGATCAGTTAGTTTAGAGTAGATAACATGACCAGTTCTGGAACCACTACTAGGAGGAACACAAGCTCTTCACTACAATCACACAGCAGGAAAGAAAGTGATAAACTCAATTCATCCCTGGTGCCGGGCCTCCAAAATTGAAAGAACTTGGCACAACTGGAGCACTGAATTTGTATCCTCCATGCTTCTCAATCATTTTAGATTCTAGAAAATAAATCAGTAAAATTTTAACAGGTATCCAATCATCTACTAACTTTGGGGTGGGGGAGGAAGAATTGACAAGATATTAACAAGCCAATAGCTTAACCACTAATAGTACCAATAATAGCCAGGCAGTTCCAAAGCTCCAAATGTAATAAGGGCAAGCACCACGTGGAGAGTATAATCTCTCCTATTGTATGCTGTAGACTTAGCCAATTTTCACTTCCCATTGTTGAGGAAAAGAATCTTTACCCCATTTTGAGTCAAAAACATCAGTAAGGTCTGATCTTTAAATAACAATCTCTAATGAATCAAATGCAAGCAAATCCAAAATATAACTTACTTCAGAATGCTATGCCTTATTTATAAAGAGTACCCTTCTTTGACTGTAACTATAAAGCTAGTTTGGCTAATGGTATTCAAACCTATAGAAAATTGCTAGACTGTGCATAATCTAAAATGTACTTTTAAAAAATACATACTGAAATGTTTAAAGATGAAAACATGTCTGGGATTTTAATATGCTTCTGAGAAAAACAATACTTCATAACTTTTTAATTTTTTTGCCTTTTTAATAGAACTTTCTACTATCTAACCATCACTATAAGCTTAAGCAATTAAAGCTACTACATACACACTGATAGTCGACTACACTTAAAAATAAACTAGCCAAAACAAAACTCATTTCTCCTGTATTAAAGCCCTCAGATTAGAGTTAACTCCTACCACTTGCAACAACTATATCTTTTATATAATTTGAAATCCTTTCATAAAATTTAAAAGCTATATATAAAGTCATTAATTGGTTGACTAACATACCATGGGCTGCTCTTCTTTGATCGGCCAGAGTTGCTATGTCCTGTAACTGTTTTCTTTGTTCTTCATTGAGACCATGAGTCAGAGCTTGATACCACACAGGATTACGATTTTGAATAGCTATCAAAACAAAAACAAGGGGAAAAAAGAACATTAATTTAAAAAGAGGCCTGGTAGATTCCTTTTTTCTTTCCTTATTATTTAAAGTCCTTACAACTCAGACCAGTAGCTTCTTTCTATTCTGTTTCCCCTACTCCATCCTCTCCCAACACTAAAATTCTGATCTATTTTATATTCTCCCAATAATTTTTAGTTATCTTATTTGTAAAACAAAAGATATAAGAATAAAATTAATTCATTTACCTTTATGCCTCAAAAACATCTAATCATTCTTATAATTCATCTCTCTAGCAAATAAGGATTCAGTCCTTACATAATAAAAAACAAAGTAGGGGAATTTCAAGAATAAAATTAACCCAACCTTCTTAAAAAATTCCAAGTTAAAGCAAATTGAAAATGATCAAGGCTACTTTGGTTAGAATTCTCAGATCCCTAAATTGAAAAAGAAAAATGGGAAGCATTAAGGAGATGTAGAAAAAGGATGTAGGATACAAAATAAGTGCCTTATTTTTTCCTGTCTTGCCTACTAAAACTTTGTCTTCAAAAGTATCTATTGTCATTTCATAGAAAGGCAACTTTACAGTTCTCAAGTTAGAATTAAAATGGTCATATATTTTTATACTATGGCCTAAATAATAGTCAAACTCAATCTGTCAGAAACAGAGAACAAATTTTCCCAAAATGCCACAAAATTAGGTGTTAAAAATCTCATAATCTTTAATAAGAACATTCACTAGACAAGTTGATATATATATATTAAAAAAATGGTGTTAAGTCTTCCCTATTTCAATTAAGTAGCTATATACACATGTGTATGTGTACAATCAAGAAACTATTCTCTGTAATAACAGGTTTCCACAAAAGAAATTTCTACAGAGTAATGCCAAAAATGTAAACTGATTTTCTCCCATACTAGTGCTAAGAGGTGTATTTGGGGGAGGGGGAGAAACCTGACACTCAACCACATGATTTTCTATTTATTACAACTGTACAGGGGCCCTGTATTAGAAACCATCCTTTAGGGATTGACATGTGTTTATACTTACAAAATCCAAAGACATGGACAAAGCAAGTCAGTGGTTCCTGGCACCATAATCAGTTCTTGCTGCCATGTAGCTCAGAAACCATCTGTTTGTGTTTCTGCAACCTTGCGGTTTTGGCTGGGTGTGGTGGCTCACACCTGTAATCCTAGCACTCTGGGAGGCCGAAGCAGGAGGATTGCTTGAGCTCAGGAGTTTGAGACCAGCCTGAGCAAGAGTGAGACCCCGTCTCTACTAAAAATAGAAAAATTAG